TTTCTTGAAATCAATGTTTAAACAATTTTAAAAATGTTTCGATTCCGATGGAGAGATGTATAAACTTAACAACTATTAAAAGAGAGATAGAAATGTATAAACTCAACATAAAACATATCCATGGCTTTGTTTCTCATCTTTATAAAAAAAGCCATATAGACACACATTAGAGCTTACTCGCGGGCTTGATGGAGCTCATAAGCTGTTGTAGCTGCTGCGGAATCCATGAGCCGCTTAGGACCACAATTGCCTCTTTGACTTTGGCTTTAAGTGCGTCAGATGATTCCAACAAATGAAGGATTTCACTTTGGTCCAATGTAAGAAGCACTGCTGTGACTTCTGCTGTCCAGAGTGGCTCAAGTGTTTCCACCAGCGGATACAGACACTCACCAAGCATCTACACATGAGAGAAATAAAAGAGTAAGGCAACAACAAACCTTTTTTTCTTACTACAATCGATAGATATGTTTAAAAAATAACCACAATGCAAGGAAACAAAAAAAGTTTTACATTTCTTTGTTGTTCGGGAGTTGCATATGCTAGATTCTCCCAATACGCTCTTGGAGGGAGCCTGCAATCTGACCAGCAGTAGGTGGAATCACCATTCTTCACTTCTATACCAATGAAATCTGATGCGAGAGACCGAATCAACATTTATTTTTAAATCATTACACTATTTCTCCCATTTTTATGTTACGTTGTTAAATATCTTTTCACTTTATCTGTATAACAAAAAAGTCTAAAATTTGTTTGCATATGTTATGATTCTAAGTTTTAGAAAAAACAATAAATTGTTCAAACCTATGAAGAAAAAAAGTATATGTTAGAAATGACAGACAAACCAACAAAGCTTGTTTTTTTGTTTGACAAAATTCACTATAACTCGTTTTACCACAATGACAATAATATTTTCTTGATTTTATTCTGATAGTAATATAAAAAACGAAAAAAACGAAACTCTATGTTGTTTTTCGTAGAATCAATGTTTAAACCCTTTTTTAAGTATGGAACTTCCATGATTTATTAAAAAAAAAAATCTTATTTAAAAGTGTTTCGATTCCGATGAAGAGATGTATGGTTTCGACCTTAGACTTAACAGAAAAAGAGATATAATTTTTTTTAAGACTCAATATAAAAGATATGCATGCATGGTTTTGTTTCTCATTTTTATAAACAAAGTCGTATGGCACAAATCAGACCTTACCCATGGGCTTAGTGGAGCTCGTAAGCTGCAGCTCTGTGGGAATTGAGTTCCGTAGAACCTCAATTGCCTCTTTGACTTTGGCTTTAAGTGCTTCGGGTGATTCTATCAAATGAACGATTTCGCTTGTGGGCATTTGAAGAAGCATTCCTGTGATTTTTGCGGTCTGCAATGGCTCAAGTTCTTTCACCAATGGATACAGAGGCTCACCAAGCCACTACACATGAGAGAAATGAAAGAGTAAGGCAAAAACAATATTTTTATAAAACTAAAATTGGTATATATATATATATGTTAAGAAAAACAACCACACTCTAAGGCAAAATAAACAGGCTTACAGTTCTTCGTTGTTCGGGAGTTGCATATACAAGTGCTTCTTTCAAACCAGGTAGTAAAGAACGAGATTGGGAAGAATCATCAAGTGAAAGATGAAGAGAAATTTTGTTCAATCTATGAAAAGGAGCCATGGTTTAAGGAATGAGGGCGGCAGAAGATTTAGGAGAAGAAATGTGATTTAGGGTTTTCGGTGAAGGGTTAATTTGTTATATAACAAAAAAAAAACTTCTTTAGGTGAACAGTACTTAATTTTTCTGTAGTTAGTCAACATATTTTTAGGAAATATATTGCGTATGAAACATTCATACGCGCGTGACATTCTTTTCTAAAATTAAATACTATATGTGTTACATATATAATTCGTTTGATGTAAATAGCAAAAGTTTTGTTTCTGTTTTATTTTTTCGACGCAAATAGCAGAAATTATTGGTTGTTGAAAAATTAAGTGTTATAACACGAAAGTGTGATTCATTAGATGTGAAGAATTGATCAATGTTGGAGTATATAGATATGTATGTTATGTAGATGATCTTTACAAAATTATTAGATTATAGTTCGCACAATAGATGGGTTTTTGGTCTAGTTAGCATTTTTTTTCTTTTAAACGGTCTAGTTAGCATTTTTATACGAGTATTTGTAACAATCATGAGATTTCACAATTTACAAAATAGAATACTTGAAAGTGTTGAATACACACACTCGCAAAACGTTGGAAACAAAAAACAAATGTATTTTCTTTCTTTAAAATCCAATGTATACTCTTATCACACAAAAGATTCGAGGAGAGTAGTTTTTATTCGATCAGAGGTTGACATATGTCCATCCTTATCATTCTGTGACAACTTTTAAGGAATGAAATCCCTTGGTCAGAAACATATCCGACCTCTCACGCGTCGATGTGCGATTGTATTGCACGCGCTAAAGAGATTTGATTCCATTTTCGTTTCTTTATTTTCTTTGATAGGTATTTATTCGTTGGGCTACATACACCAACCAAAATAAGAGTTTAGTTTTATGGAAGAAGACATGTCCAAGACTTTGAGTGAATAAGCTTATTACAAATATTTTATGCATCATAAACACATCGAATGTTGCCATTATTGGTTCTACGCTTTTGGGGGAGTCTATTCAATTTGAATTCCTATGCACTTAAATTTACAGTCAATTACAAGTGTAGACATGCAGATAATCAGGTGAGAGACACAAGTGTTTACAACAAGGCCACTTACGGTTAGGACTCTGTTTCCGTCCAATGTTTCGTTACTTACTCAGCCTTACATATACCAAAATCTCAGACCAAACTTGTTCAGGGGACCTGAAAAGCGAAAACAAAAAGAAAAACAAAAGGGTCAAAATTTTCGACATTATATATGCAAGTTCTGAAAACACGAACTATGGACAATGTCGAGCTAAACAACCAAATTGATGGGCCAAAGTTCATGCAAGTATTTGAAAAGCTATAATGTCGATCGCAAAACAATATAAGGAATCAAATAAATGAGTAGCTTTAAGAATTCATTACCATTCAATTACTTTCTATAGAGTCAGCTGCTCTACATTCTTTGTATTACGTGACATTATATTCCCATTTCTTCTATCCTCTTGCTCTTCATATGGGTTTCCTCTATAAGTTGAACTTGCCTCCTCGTTATCTGAAGACCCTGGCCTTTCTGTAAGAAATTGTTCCCAGAATACGTCATTCACTCTAGCCGGAGGAGCTGTATTTGCTTGGCTACTTCCAACTGCAACCTCTTGTCGAGTCCGGTTTTTCTCACTTACACTTGTTTCTAATGAGTTGAAGTTTAACTCGGTACATCTTCCAATCTCCTGACTTTTTTGAGTTGTCTTAGCTATCTGTGAAGCTGTCTTGTCCGGTAATGGAGCAGAAGCCAGGGTTAGATTTAAATGACATGAAAAGCTACCATCAGTCTCCTCTGAAGAAGTTAGCTTCTGCTGCAAGGTCTCCGCTCTTGTGTTGTCATTTAATAGTAATCTCCTCGGGCATGACCCGGTATCCACAAGCTCTAGTGCTTCAGGTTCAAATGGTAAGCCTTCTCTTCTTGTTTGTGCAGTTTTTGGATCACCACCTGAGAGTATTCCCTTGGGACTCGCTCCTTCTTCGTTAGAACTTTGTATACTGTGTGAAACCATGTTCATATCTGAAACAGCTGGAGAAAGCTCTAACCGCAATTTATTTGAGAAGTTTTGATGGAAAATGTTTCCAGACTCGGGTCTCGAGCTACCACTGCTATTATCCAAATGAGAATCTTCAGAAGGTGGCTTCGACTGCTCAACTTGAGGAAGCCTTCGTTTTTTATTGTAAGCCAAAAGATCCAATTGATCAATTTTACGACCAAAATTCTTAACAAAAGTCGGATTCTTAATCGCCGTTTCCAAGAAATTCAACAGCTTCTTCTGCCTCTTCTCCATATCATCAACATGCTCAGTCATTTCGTCTAACTGATGCTTTGCAGTAGTCTTCTGCTGTTTAAACTTCACAAGCTTAGATTCAATCGCAGCTTTTTCGTGCGAAAGCTTATCCATTTCCTCTTGCAACGCCGCTCTTTCTCGATCTATCGACGAAACCGGTGGATGACTATGGCTATGTATAGGTTTCCTTCTATGTATATTCTTGAGCAGATGCTTCTGATCTTTAATAAAATCATCATTTGAAAATTCCCACCTCTCTGAATCAATCTTACGAAATCCCTATCAACAATTTCACAACAACATTCACTATTGATTCGAAATTCACAACAACAATTCAAAATGCCCTAAATTTTCCCCGAGATCAAAATTAGGTCAATCAAAAACATTGGAAGCGAAGAGAGAAGAGATAAACTCACATAGGTATTCAGTTGACGGATAAAGGAAGAGAAGTTGTTGTGCTTGAAATAGGTTGGAAGAAGGAGACGTGAAAACTCCGCATGGTTCCAAACGATGAAGCTGTTGTTGGTGGAGCTCCAGGACACAATCGGATCTGTGGAAGAATCATCAACCATCTCGTATGTTTTCACCAAAAAAGGCGCTGGTCCTCCGGCTCCTTCACCTCCGTCGCCGGTGACGGAGGCGGAGGAGTTACCTAATGAGCCGTTCATTTACGAATCTAATCGGAAAACGAGCGAGAAAAAATTGGCGATGAGGGAGGTTTAGAGAGATCCTTAGTCGTAAATAAATAAATAAATACTTTTTTTTTTAACCCAAATTTACCTCAAAGTCTATCAAAATTCCAAAAAAAAAAAAGTGCTTTTCTCGCTCACGACTCTCGCTTTCCGGTAGAGGCTTTGCTTAGGCCAACGATAATAGAGTAAATCTCCGGAAGTATATTTTCCTTGCCACTCAAAGAGGTTTTTTTTGGAAATTTTCCAATATTCACGCAAATTTGGTGATGATTTGTTGAGATTTCCAACTTATTTCATCAAATCTTCAAACCTAAAAGATGTTTTTCTAGGTTTTTGTAGCCGCTTTTATTTTTTCTATCTTCACAATCTCTCAAACACAAGTGTGGATTGATAGGGAAGGAGATCTTTCTTTTGCTGATGGACACAGTGTTATCTAAAGCGCTACAAGACATGTCACTGGAAGAGGATATACTGATTGATCTACAAGCGGAAGGAAATTTTAGCGCTATGGAACAAAGTGCTAATAGTTTGATTGTCAAAATATGGCTCAGATGCTGCGTACAATGCCAAAGATCTGGAAGATATACGAGCGAGTACGTGGTGTAACTTTGACAAGAGAAAGTTTACAGTTCTTCTTTAAATTAGAAACGGATCTTCTTACGCGATATGTTTTCTGGACTTTCGATGACTGAGTATGGTGATGCCCCCCCCCCATCGAATTTCCTGAAAGAAGCACCAGTCTGGATATGGATTCACAAGATTCTAGTGAACTATTTCACTCTGAATACGATCAAAGCAATTGGAAAAGGGATTAGGCACGTCAAAGAAGTTGCTTACGATCCAGAGAAACCTCACCTACAAGATTACCTACAAGATTACGTGAGGGTTTTAGTGGTAATCAACTTGGATCAACCAGTACGAGACACAAAGGTGATCAATATCTCAAGAGGCCAAACCGCAACGGTTGATGTTGAGTACGAGCGGATTCGGAAGAAGTGTTTTCATTGTTTGCGCCTGACTCAGGATAAACAGAGATGTCCACTGTTTCAGGGTAAAAAACAGACCATGATCAAAGAGAATGAAAAGACATCGCAATTGTTTAATCATAGAAAGAATACTCCAAAGGTTCATACGAACTTAGCTGAGAAGTTGATGCCTTTATTGGCTCCAAAGGTTCCTCATGGGTTCGAGCCATCATCATCGGTGGTTCCTAAAGTTTTTCAACAAATAAAAATTTATATGTCTTGCTTAGATCCGCAAGAAAGACGTATAAGAGAACAACTAATGATTCAGACTTTAAATGAACTCTCCAAGGATCTCATTGCTCAAAGTTCGCGCTTGAGGTTGGAAGCTCCACCTTTGGTTAGCTCAAATTTGAACAAAGATAAAGGAAAAGTCTACGATTTTAGCAAGACACAGCTAGTGAATAGTCAAGGAACACATAATGCAGAGCTTACTACCAAGGGGGCTGAAGTATTAAGTACGGAAGAGGGATACAACATTCAGAAGGCAGCACTAACCTCTCTCACAAGACCAGAGCTGACAATACAGAAGGTGCATCAACAACAAGAAGGTAGTGGTAAATTTATACCAGAAGCAGATAATCTTGTTTTCAATATGGGAGTGACAGAGGCTAGTTCTTCTGGTATCAGTGGTCGGAGTATAAATATACAACAGAGGACCTCGTCATGGTCTAGGAAGAAGAGGAATATCAGTGGTAGACAAAGAGCTCAACAAACACAAGAGAATGAAGATGGAGACACTAATGCTTAAAGAAAGGCGAATGACATGATGGAAGCATCCTCAAAACTTTCAAAAAATGTTGC